GCCCAAAAAAGCACATCCATCCATCATAAAAGTAATCCATACGGCTCCAGGGGATTAATAAAGGCCTTCTGAAGCAAAGCGATGCGTTTTTTTTTTAAATCCATATTTATAACTTTATAAACTGTAAACGCTGGCTTCCAGCCAAAGAGTGACCTCTGACCCGACGCATGACGTATTGATGAACACGCAAGCGCAGAGGATAGATAAAAACAAAACACAGCCAGTCACAAATTGGTGATTTTTACACAAATTAGTAAAAATGAGAATTTTTAAAGAGAAATGTCAAGAGGAGCTTGTGTTTGTAGTCCAGACATATTTGTTTGAACCGCGAGAGGCGTCGACTCCCAGCTAAGCTTACGCTACTCTACATCATACGTCATACGCCAGGTCAGAGGTCACTCTTCCGCCGGAACTAGACTCGTGTACGGGCGTCACCGGCGGAAGCCAGTGATTTTTATAAAGTTATAAAAATGTATATTTTTCTTACAAAAATGCATTCCTTCGCTTCAGAAGGCCTTTATTATCCCCCTGGAGCCGTATGGGTTACTTTTATGATGGATAGATGCGCTTTTTTAGGCTTCAAATTCTCTATTCACTCCCATTCTAAAGCTTGGAAGAGCCAGGACATTTTTTTAATATAACTCCAATTGTGTTTGGCTGAAAGAAGAAAGTCATATACACCTAGTCTTGAGGGTAAGTAAATTATGGGATAATTTTCATTTTTTTGGTGAACTATCCCCTTAATATCAAGTATTAAATACTAACATTTCTGACAAGGTAAGTCCATATATTTATTCTTTGCAAAAAAGAAATATTTACTCTGCCAATCAAATTGGAGGACAACTATTGTAAATTATCCTGCTAGTAAAGTTGATTATGCATAATCAAATACTTACTCGGTATTATTTTGAGCATGTATCAATACAAAGGATATGCATACTTAGCATATTAAATGAGTAATTATCATTCATAGCTTTTGACTGATTAACAAAGGTGCCTACATATTTCGTTACATATTTCACAAGATTTCTATCTGCAAAGACTTGAATGATTGTTATGATTCTTTTGACTGCCTGTATTTGTCCATTCAACACGCTATTAACTGATGTTTCTGTGTAATTACTCTGTCTGTGTGTTTGACAAACACACAGAACACTCACAAAAGAAGCTGGTATGTTTTCAAAGAAGCAAAGCGGCATGTCTGCAATAATTCAAATATTTGTAATCAAAACAGAAAACTCTCACTGACTGTTTTGGGTACACACAAAAAAGCTTGGCCAATCAAAATGTTGTTGCACAAGCACAAAGTCAGAAGCAATTTACTTTTGAAAGATCGATTTAACCATTGATGAGCGTGCTTGGTTTAGCTCGAGGATTTTGGATCGTCAACAGTCATTGTCCATTAATTAGAGCTCCTAACACTGATTCACAAAAAACAATCAATTACTCTTCTAGACTTGACTGTCGGTATATACCCTATAATTGGGTGACTGCTTTCCTTTTCTCAAGTGCCCCACAGCCAATCGTTGCAGACCAAACAGGTGGCAGCAGAGGAAACAAGCTCTTCCAGTCCATAAAACTGGCTAACTAGCTCCTGAAAGTTGCAAGCCTGCAATTATCATATCATTTGTGTTGTAAATCACACTGCTTCTTGTCATGTTATCATCAGTTGCACCAATTTCATGCAACACATCTACCCCCCACCCCTAAAAAAAAGAAACAAATGTTAAAAAGTAAAGACATTTCAGGTCATTTTCACATGGACGAATAAAAAGTATGTTTCAGTTTCAATACACGGAGCTGGAATTGAGAATGTGGTTCATAAATCAGCACATTTGTGTGACATTGTCCCATAGGCATGAGATGGCCCTCCCTACTGTACGTTGCACAATAGACTCAAACGCAGGTAGCATGTACTTCCCCCTTCTCAAGTCTAAACATCCCCGAATCCAGCATACCCACCCACATACCAAATTTTGATCCTGTCACCTGGACACAGCAAGGGCGTGCAACATTTTTACAATGCCTTTTGTACATCATAATACCAAATAATTCTGCCTTGGAAAAGTGATCAATCTTAAAGTAGGATCCTGCATCGTCGTGTTTTAATTTTCCAGTGGATATCGCAATCATGGCAACGCTTAAACTAATAGCAAAGGTTGTTAAGTTTAGTCATTTGCACAGTTATCCAGATAATTTGATATACTTGTGATTAAAAAAGCCTACCTAATTGAACATTGACATTGTTTATAGCCTTACTGGGGTACTGGATGTTCTCACCCTCTAAACACATTGTAATTGCTCAGCTGCAGTTGATACAGCCACAAATAAGGCAAATTAGTCACTGTTAGATAGATAAACAACTAGATCTGGGGGTTTTTTTGACCCTCAGATATCATAAATTACACCACCTTATGAAGAAAACACATTTGAATCAATCATTTTAAAAGCAACATTTTAAAAGTCTATTAATACCTTAAAATTTGCTCCAGAGAAACAAGTGCGGTGCCATACTGAAAATTTTGCGCTTGACCTTTCCGTTGCTGCGTTTGCTCTGTATATTTCTATGGCACTATCAACGAGTAATTGCTGGTGAAGTGGGTTTACTTATAGAGTTAACGAAAGTCATCATAAGCACTGTAATGTTTGAAGCGGGTTTTGGATGAGTTAAAGCAATGTAAAAATATATATGTTGTCATAACTTATTGATCATACAATTCTTTTACGCATAAGAGACTTAATTCTTTCAAAAAACATAAAAAAAATCGTAGGCTACTGACCGCAAACTTTTGAACATAATTTAAATGATAAGTTTCATTAAATGCTATAAATGATGAAAAGTTATAGAAATAAACAAAAGTACTGCAAATTCATAAATATACCTGCTGTATATTTAGCCTATTTATCAAAATAATTGTATTATAAATTGCAATCACTGACCAGTTTTGTTTACAACATTTATAAGAAAGAGAATTAAAAGCAATGAGCAAAGCTGGGGTAACTTTGTCATTGGTTAGACAAACTTGGTTTGTAGGGTAAATAAGAAGCAGCACTAGTTTTGATTAACTTGATGAAGCCGAATCAGTATAGCCCACTCTCCGCTTGGCATCAGTCCAGATCAAATTACTGTGAGTTAGATGAATTATTTCACTTAACATAGTTGGGAAACATCACAGACTGCTCTCTACACCTACATGCTTTCAACCATCTGTTCTTTTGTTTACACCTCTTCATATCCATGGCAACAACATGGGGGCAGGTAGCTAGTCGGAAATATTTGTAAGTAGCATAGCCCTCATAACATTAATGAGCATTTGTTTAAAGCAATGTGCTTTGACACAGAAGGATATTCGGATATTGTTGGATATACCGTGAAGAAATCAGTCAGTCTAACCTATTTTACACACATAATTGAGAATTAGGCCTGTGTGATTGTCAGTAATTCACATTATGTTGCATCATATCTGTGATAAAATCACTTGTGTAGTCTTCAGAGTTAGCTCAACCTTCTATTTATCATCATGTGTTAACACTGATAGCGTCCTGTCTGTGCGATGATTACTCATACAGGCTGAGAGTGGTAATTTTGCATACACAAACACTGCGACTTCGGTGGCTATGTTCAACATGTTACATTAGTGAAGTTTGACTACCCACACAAAACGTATCGGGAGGTTATACATTTGTTGTTCTCAATTATATTTCGTTTCGATACGCTCACAGAACTTAGCTGCCTATCTGAAACAGAATCTGCAAGATTGAAACAGTCTTTGTTTACACTATTCGAGTGTGGAATGTTTTTGGGTGTTTAAATTAAGCCTATATCTGTCTGAAGTGTTGTGGCCTATAGCCTAAATATGTTTTTTTTAATATGTTTCAGAAGTGTTGTTTCCTGGGGACTTCTTCAATTAAAGAAGAATATGAATAGATTGTTCTTATATTATCTTTCACAGTTTATAGGCATTGCGACTGATAATGAGGCTATGTATTAACATCTAAGGTGATGCAATACGCAAATGTACATTTCTGTCACTCAGGCCCTTAAGGATTAGCTGGTGTAAATTACAGTAGAAGGTGACATGGATGCATTTTCAGCTGACTGAAATATATATGTATATATATAAATATATATATATGTGTGTGTGTGTGTGTGTGTGTGTGTGTGTGTGTGTGTGTGTGTGTGTGTGTGTGTGCGTGTGTGTGTGTGTGTGTGTGTGTGTGTGTGTGTGTGTGTGTGTGTGTGTGTGTGTGTACTACCGGTCAAAAGTCTGTAATAATTAAAAATATGTTGTTGTTTTTTTTGCTCATCAAGGCTGTATATATTTGATAAAAACACAGTAAAACTGAAATAAAACTTAAATACATTAAAACATTTTAAAATGCTCAAGAAACGTTTCCTATTATTATTATCAATGTTTAAAACAGTTATACAGCTTAATATTTTTGTGGAAACACTGATCATTTTTATTTGATGAATAGAAAGATCAAAAGAACATAATTTATTTGAAATAGACACTACTGTCACTTATAATTTAATGCATCTTTGCTGAATAAAAGTATATATATATAGAGTGTTTCCACAAAAAATGTTTCTTGAGTGCCAAATCAGCATTATCTATAAAATTATTTTAATGAGCCAGCAGATGAGATGCACACACTGTAAGCGAACCGTTAAATGATACAAAACACAAACTAAATCAACTCAGAAACAAGTATTTTCACAGCCCAGCAAAGGTAATGGTGTTTGATACTGTTTTGAACAGGTTTTGGCGTGACACTGTTTGCACATGTAAATCCAAAGGTGGAGATGTTTGTTCACTTTCAGGCACTTATATGTTCAGTGAGCATGTAAGTACACTATTTTTGGAAGGATTTCTGTCTAATGACACCTGTCTGTTTTATGTAACTGAACCAATTAAGCTGTGGCTCCTCATGAATGCGAAGTCTAATGAGCAGCTTAGAACATAATTATAATAACAAAGGATAAATAATTCCCAAACAGTCTTTAAGTTAAGGTTTTATTATCTAATAGTCTGCAGAAAAAAAGTTAAACACACAAGATTCCTGAACAATGAAGACAAACGAATGGGGTTACAGTGGGTGCTTATCACCTTAAAGAAACCCCCCCCCCAAAAAAAAATCTGCTATGAAGTGCTACAAACCATTCTGGGTCTTAGAGGTTAGACTGCATTTTTTTCCTCGTATTTAATTGAGTAAAGAAAAAAATTCAAACAATTCCTAAGCTTCTCTAGTTCACTGATATTTGATCTCAGTTCAAGAGCCGTTGTGGTAACGAACATGAAAGAAAAAAAAAATTCTCACACGATACATGTAAAATCTTCAGTGAGCTTTAACCCAGATGTAAAACACAAAATACAATTTTGGGTTTGGAGCTCAAATGCATAGAAAAGTTCACTCATTCAGAATAAATAGAACCATTTCAAATGGATATCCGACTGATATTTGTCACTTTAAATTTTGAAGTGTTTGCCTGGTTCGTAAAAGAATGACATTGTATAAAATACGCACATCCATTTTTTTTTTAGAAGTACATCTATGGCGTCTATGTACACCTATTGGTGTTAGACTGTGAGCATTGAATCTCTAAATCAATTTAACACTACAAAACATTGATCAATCTATTCATTAAGGTGTTCTTTTATTATTACTTTCGTCATCCAGTATACTTCTTTATGATGGAAATGTTCTGACTGATAACAAAGGAGCGAGAGAGAAGTGAAAACTTACACACACAAAAAAATCGTACAAAAAAGTCTCCATTGCTCTGAGATGGAATGTGATCCAAAATGAAGAGGTCCATGTGTATTGCATACAGAAGTTTTTACAGTCAAGTCTTTCGGAGCAGTTCAGCTGCTGACGTCCTATGTTCTGCTGTGCGCGATCAGAAGTCAGTGGCGGTCGACTGTGACTCAGTTCCTTAGTTTACACACCAAGTTTAATTCATGACAGTGTGTCTGTCTGAAAAATATGGTTCTTTTTTTTGTGTGGCAGAGATCCGTCATCATGACTGATGTTTATTACCCGAGATAACGCAGCCGCACGATATCAGTCTTCTGAAATGACGTCAATGTCCTCAGAGCTGCCCTGTTGCGTGGCCACCCTCCAGCGGCTCACATGTTGACTGCCCTTCCTCTTCTGCTGCGACTCTGGTGACTCTTCCTCCAGCTTCTGTCTCTTGTGCTTGGTCCTTCTGTTCTGGAACCAGACTTTCACCTGAACAAGAACGAGAACGAGAGGCCATTTCAATATATCAGCTTGTCTAGTTAGATATATAATTAATATATAATTATAGATAGTATTAGAAATAATCTATATTAATTCATTTAAAATGCATGTTTGAACTATTTTATCCTTTTTTTATTAAGCATATCTGCCCCATTACCTTGTTTGCTATTAAAATACTTTGGCGGCATTATTATGCCATATAAAAACATGCTTATGCCTGCTGCTTATGTGAAATATGATTGTTGTTGACGTAATGTCTCAATCTGGTGAGAAAATCATGTATCGTGATTGCACGATATGTGTGGAAACATATTCGAACTATGTGTGCTTGACACGGATAAAACAGTATGTAAAAAAAAATAATAATAATAAAAAAGCAGCAGTAAAGTAATTGTAAAAACAAAATGGCAAAGGTTTACAGAAGGTGTCCAAAAGTGTAAAACCACTAGAGAAAATGTGAAAATATTATAATTTAATAAAGGTCATTACAAATTATATTATCAGTATGAACATTTGAACGAAACTTGTAATTGAAAATGAAAAGTTTTTATTTAATAATGTATTAGAATACAACTATGTAAAAAAAAAAAAACATACCAAATAAAAGTCGCTGCAAAAACGTAATAACTAATTAAAAAGGTTAATTAAAAAGTCTAAAAACACAAGTGAAATTGCATTTTTATAATCAAATAAATTTTTATTTATTTATGCCCCAACTTTTGAACATTTAAACTAAAATGAATGAAAAAAATATATTTTTAATTTAAAAATGTATCCGTATAAAACTGTATGTTAAAAAAAACATCCAAAATAAAAGTAAGAAAATAACTAATTTAAAAGATTCATATATGATTCATATAACCTGTAAAAGTTGCTGCCTAAAATTTTTAAGTACAATCAACTTGGATGTTTAAGTCACTTCAACTTAAATTACATTAAACTCACTTAAAAAAAAGAGAGTTGAATCTTGTTTAACTTATAAACTAATTTGAAAATTGCTTAACTTATTTTGATGAGTTAAAGCAATGTAAAAACAAATGTTGTCATAGCTCACTGATCATATAATTTTTTACAGTAGGTGTCCAAAAGTCTAAAATAAGTTTCTCATAACATTTATTTATTTATTTATTTGGTTTATTTTTTTTATTATTCCATTTCTTTCCACGTTCAGATTTGTATTCCCCGATTTTCAGTGGTGTCTCAGACTTTTGAACCCCTCCGTATGTCACAACAGGCATTGCTCAAGCCTAACAATCCTACACAAGTACGTATGTGAATGTTTGTGAAGCCGATTGTGAAAATAACCAATAAATGCATGTTGTATACATGCTTTGGAATTTATACGGCCTCTCCCAAGGCAATGAATGATGAATTACTTCCGTCCTGTGAGGAAACTAAATGAGTAAATGCGTGTTCACATCCCATGCCGTTAGCAGTGTGTGTGAGTGTGTGTGTGTGTGCTGCATTCCACAGCGTGCTGAAGGGATGGACCCTCACGCCTCTGCCTCCTCACCTGTGTCTCTGTCAGGCACAGCCCGTTGGCTAACTGCTTGCGCTCGGCTCCCACCACGTAATGGTTCTTCTCGAAGGCACGTTCCAGCCGCAGCAGCTGCGACGGGGAGAAGGCCGTGCGGATGCGCTTGGGCTTGCGAGAGAAAGGCCCGTGTAGCAGCAGGTTTTCCGGGCTGCTGTCGTCACCTGGAGACAAGAAGCAGGGGAATAAAAAGCACATGTCAATTAGCCCAGTGGATACTTTTATAGTGGGATTTAAAATGAATAAACGAAAATCTAAAACGTTCACAACAAAAACACAAGGAAATGTGTACATTTTAAAGATTTTAAACTGCGACTTATGCGCCAAATATGTTTTACATGGAAATTTCACTGTTTAAATTGAAAGTATCGTGCTGTTGCAATCCTAATGACATCATTGGATTGCTTTGTCCTTTTTGAAGTGTGTGGCATTACAAAATGAAGTGATGTGGATTCATAAAATTTCATTAAAAAGTCTTATGGCAGCCATTCCGTTGACATTTCTTCATGTAGCAGATCGATTATCCAGAGGCTCTTTATGCTTTTATACAAAATAAGTGCTTTACATAGCATAGCAATGCTGACATTACGCACAGGATCGCACGTCTTAATTGAGCCACATGAGCTGATTTGAATAATTCCAGGTCAGTTCCAGACACGGCTGATGTAAAGTGTGTTCACACCGCATCATTCATACGTCTGTACACTCAGACAGCTCTCTGTGCATTCAAAGACGAGCCTTTAACCTTCGGCCCTCATAATATATGGCATTACCCTAATTTTCATACAAATGCAAGGCTGCTAAAAAATAAATAGACATCCATGGTTGAATAGATGCAAAAACATTTGAGATGAATATGTTAATTGTCAGTTAAGCAAATCTAAATCCCTTACATTTGGTCTGATTATATTCAACATGAGGCAATAGTAAAATTTTGTCCCCATCAGTAAGTATCAGAGCAAACGTGATCTTCGCTCGACCCCAGACAACATCTGGAGGGTAGAGTACGTGTGCCGTTTATTGCAAACACACAAAGAGGGGAAAACATTTTTCATAAACAAATGGATGTGTAATTTACGTGACCACTTTAGTGTTTGGAGAGCTATGTTTGAAAGGAATCTTCAGAAAGGTGATGACCGCAATCACGTATAAACAAAATATTCTCGCGGAGCGGTTACAGGGAGGATAGAAGTGACAGACCATGATCTTTTGTCACTGAAAAAATAACCAAAAGGTTTCAACGTTCGCATCAGGTGTGCAACCGCAAAATGTACATCGGTAACATGCAAATGTCTCAAATAGGTGTTTGCTTCAATAACGACTTTTTCTGAGCACGCAATTCGGCTGGGTTTATGAACGCGGTTGGTCCATGCCCACACATAGGCCGTGAAGCTGCTGAAAACATCGGTGGCGATTGCTAAAAGCATATTAATGCATTAAATGGAAGTTATGAAATATATTCAGCCACCCAGAAATACTTTCACAATTCCAAAGGCTGACTAAATCCTTTAAACCACATAAACTAATTTCATCTAAATCCATAAAAGTTCAGTGTGCACAGAACACATTGACATTTTTTAACACTGATCATCAAAGAAAGCACAATGATGCACCAATTCTGAGCACAAAAGCTCACTAATGGCATCACCAGAAGATGAAAAGAGGATTAGCATGAGGCTGTTCGGACTTTAAGTCTTTTAAAAACTCCGAAACCAAGCCTTTATCTGCAGACAATAGCTTTGAACTGACTCCTTTCAGACAAGCATTAAGCCATCACAGAGAAGCAACTTCAACTCTCAGCCTCAAACACAGCGATGCTTCATATAAACGCATTTCTAGGCATCCCACTGCGGAAAAGACAGTTGCAACATGTTTGTTTGCATGCACAGAATGACTCGTTCGTAATGGTCGCTGTTGCAAGCCTCCATTAGCAGAGACTTCCCAAAGGTCCTAATAATGTTTGCACTTTACTAAAAGGTGCATATTTTCTGTCACAGCACTGTCATTGACAACTGCTTTCAGCTGGTGTGCTGAAAACGCTTTGAACACCAGAGGCAAAAACAATGGAGACATCTCCGTGCAAAAATGAGGGGAGCAGGGCGGAAGAATGTAAATAATGAGTTCTACGCGGTTTGAAGGTGTTGAAAAGCCCTCCTTAAACCTTCCTCAAGGTGCACTGAGCGCCAACCAACCGAAACCGAATACTCAGTGTTATAGTGGCAACTTTTCGAAACTTTCAAATCAAAGTGAAATCTTATTATTTCGTGTAGGCTCAGTGCTCTCGGCCTGGCATCATCAGCATGTGTGGCATCACCTCCGTGTCTCTCGAGAGAGGTGGTGGATCAGACTAGTAGCAGGCCAGAACACTGACAGAGACTCAAGCCTCCTGAAGAGCCGGGAGACCCTCCGGGGGTTTGGATTTAAACACACACTGGCCTATCCACGGCAAGAAAGCCCCCAACACGAGGAAAAGGGAACCAGATGGCACCCAGATCAGCATTACTACCATTCCCTTGGCACAAACAAGCTTGGTCTTGTCAGTGCCGTTCTCATTAGAGGCAGGGAGAAGGGTGGCCTATAGTGGGAAAGAAAGAGACTGTACCCTTTGGTCTCTCCTACAGAATGAGTGTTCCCCGTTAAGCCGCCTCCCTGAAATTTTGATTCAATATTTTCCAAGCAATTTTGAAAAAAAAGTTATTATTATATATATATATATATATATATCCAAAACATTTAACTGTTATTATCTGCTATTATTGTTATTATATTATTACATTATTATTATATTGTTATGTAAGCTTTGGAATGAGGCCTCTAAAGAAAGACAATAAATCATTCTATCAATAGTTTTAAAAGTCTGCTGATAACACTGTTTATATATATATGTGTGTGTGTGTGTGTTACTTAACTGCTATTATTATATTATTACATTATTATTATATTGTTACAATATTTTTAAATTTTATTATGCTTTGGAATGTGCCTCCAAAGAAAGACAATCAATTATTCTATCAATAGTATTAAAAGTCTGCTGATATCACTGTTTATACATCTATAGGCCTATATATATATAGATATATCGTGTAGAGTTCACCCAAAATTAAAATTACTGTGTGAGAAAAAAATTCAAGTTTACAGAGTTTTAGTGTCAGTACTACATTAAACTATATAATGTTAAATATAATGTATAATTATATTAGTGCAATGGGGGAATATTTGTGGGTCCTCCTGATAATGGCAAATGTCTTATGTTACCAGTAAAAAGTGGCCAACACTATTTTAAATATACATCTAGTCAGTGACAGAGTGCACGCATATTCATCTAAAATCATTTGTCTTGGAGTATCGCAATAAAATTGTATCGTTCGTTCAGTATCTTTATATGCATCGAGTTGTGACATAAGGGTATCGTCACATCCCTATATATAACTGCTATTATTATTATTACATCATTATTACATTGTTCTCATATTATTACACTATGCTTTGGAATCCAGCCTCTAAAGAAAGACAATCACTGATGACATTGTTTATGCATCTGGAACCTCACAGATTTTTATTGAAACCTGAGAGTGCACAAATCTCAGAAAAATGCATCAGTGCCACTGTCACAGTCTGTGGATCGTACCCATAACACGAAAGCCTGCTCATGTACAACAGCAGGACGGTCTGGGATCCTGTTTATCTTGTCCCGCATGACGGATCCGAGGACATGGACACATCTCTTTACCCATTCAGGAAGTGCTAGAGTTAAAACCCATGGACACATTAGCACTGACACTCTCCTCGATAGGTGATCCGTTCCCACCCAATCCCCACGGCTGCATTTAGTCTTGTCTAAACAGTAGTTTTCTAGGTTATTGGACACCATCAGTGAGTGGATCGGCTGTGTGTGTAAACAAAGAGGCTCTATCTGAACCCCGGATCTGAGTAATAGTGACAACAACCTCTGACTTCCACCAATTACCTGAGCAATGCCCTCGAGGACTGTGGTGCAGCTCAGGACCCTATAACAGCAAATGTGTCTGGGCTTCTCATCACAGCCCTCCAAGCAGGCAATAAGTCAGACCGGCCAGAGCTACTGATAGCAGATTTAACAAATTGCCTGGTAAATAGGACCTCCTAGTATCCATTACACTTTTTAAAGGACTCTGCAAACAGGACTATCAAATCAATCAAATATTCTTGTCTTTGATTTTTTATAATAATAGTAATAAATTAAAGAAGTTCAAAGAAACATTCATCTCACAAAGATGGTGATTAAAATGTACAAAATTTAAATCAAATTAAAATAAAGCTCTTAAAGGAACAAACATTTCAAGGCTGTTTTTTTAGAGCTAAATAGAGGTATAAATAAAGAGGTTTAAATAAAGGTTTTATCCAATAATAAAAGTGCAATAATTGTTTTAAAAGCTAACATATATCATTAACAGTGTTTGCATTATTATGGTAGTTTTAAGAGCTGTAAATGTTTATGAGCCTTATAATAACAAATGTGTTTACTTTGTGGAAGAATCACAAATGTAAAAGAAAGATGTTGCATGTAGCACTTCGACTACCTCATAAAAATATTCGTCCACCCACAATAGTGTAATATAATTATTGAAATAGATTATGTATATCGTACATTTAAAAAAGAAAACGGAAACGACGTAGAAATACGGTGCATCTTTAAGAAGATACACAAATATTTAAATAAAAATAATTCAAATAACAGTAAAATAATGTAGTTTTTTTATTAAGAAATATACTATATTTATTGTATTAAAATTATCCTAAACGATGGAACGTATTATAAAAGTATATAATAAGTAAAAGCCTAGCCTACATTTAGCCTATTTGATCATTAATATAGGCCTAAATGTGCTTCTGAAAACTGTGACAATAATCGTTAGGCTATCTATTTATCTTTATCTTAATTATCTTTCATAATGAATTATTTATATTATAATACACAATGAGAGCTGAAAATGTATCAAACAAACAAACAGAAAAAAAAATATATGTATCGAACAACGTCCCCTTCTTTAATAACACGGCTATATCTGATCAAAACAAATTAGCGGTCTTTCATAATGTTATGACGACTACAAATTTATTTTGCAATTCACCTTTATTGGCAATTTGGCAAAATTCCTTTAATTTAAAGTCAAACCATTTTTAAATAGACTAACACAACTCGCACGGCATCATTTTCTCATGAGTCCTTTTTACATTTTTTAAATCGATATGTTTATAAAAATAGCTAGGTTAATATTCAGATGAGAGGTAGGCTATTTATCGCATCGCCCGTGCATGCGTATCGCCATTTATAACAATTTTTAAATAAAACATTAAATCAATAAGGCCAAAGAGCTGCTGAAAACATTGACTAGGCTACCTCACAGTCACACTTAAAATATTTTCAATCTTTTTGAAGTTATTAAGCTTTTCTTAACTTCAAGGGCCCCACTTCAATCTCTCACTCCATCTCAACATCCCAGAACTGATCTTTACCTTGGAATCGATGTCCCAGATATCTGTTCCTCAACACCCACGGGTAGAAGTTGAGGGGGTCCCTCTGGTGAGGGCTGAAGAAGGACTGTGTGGGGATCTGGAGGTGACGCAGAGACAGCCCGGAGTTGGTGGAATGAGTGGCCGGGTCTGTGAACATCATCTCTGGGCTGCTGCTGTACAGTGTCCTGCCTGAGTTCTGGAAGCAGCTCCCAAAGGGGGAAGGATGGATGGATTCAGAGAACCTCAGAGCAGTGGGTCTGATGGGCTCATCCGCAGAGGCACTTGAGGAATTGGAGTCTTTACCCACAAGAGATTCAATAGTGAAGCACTTCTTATTGTGCTGGAACATTGTGATGGGCTATAATAAAAAAAATACTCAATCAATTAAATGCAAAAAAATCGAACAGGAAGTGAACCGATGATGAACCGCACGTCTAAAAAAAGTCAAAAAGACAATATTTATATAGTCCCTCTGCAATCCATAACTTCATAAGGTTCCTTTGGCTCCTTCAATTTCGTGGGTTGCAATACACTTCCAATAGCTGCAAATAGACGTGTGAGTTTCTGTCACCAGTTGTGTTTAAAGTAATTCAGATCTCATCTCGTTTATGTCCTTGTCAGAGCAAACGTCGAGCATGTGAAGCAGGCATCAGTTCAGATGCAGTCAGATCGCTGCGAGCTCTTGTGATCGATGATCCGTCAGCTTGTGCGCCAGCGCTTGTCATGATGAGCCAACTTCAATACCTGCTCTCTCGGAGCTCCGACAGCGAGGTGTGCTGCGCATGCGCAGACCGGCGAGCGGCGCACTCGCGCTCAATAGCCATTTTGTGTTGTGTAAAGAAATTCTGTAGGTAGGCTATTTGACCAGAAAGAGTTCAACAACACATGAGGATGTGTCAGAACAGAATCTATGAAGGGTATACCTAGCTACATTTAAAATGTGTTGAAGCTTCAAAACTGAATCTTTCTGATGGCTTAGTGATCAGCAGGTTGCTTGTTTAATTTTATTACACTGTGACTGATGTTGTTTTTTAATCATTTTTATTTTATTTTATTTATTTAGGCTATTTTTTGCGAAATAGGCGGAAGCAGGTGAAAGGGATTTATAGATTTTGTTTTGCTAGTTTAAATGAACGGCCTCATAATTCGTCACGATATTCATTTAGGTTTTTATTTGCCTATTACTTTCTTGTCTTCTTACACCCCAGAAATAGCCTATTTATTTCGGTTAATAATTTTTCACACACTGTAGCCTATCATATTTTTTAAAAAAAGATTCTGAAAGTGTTTCCTTGCTACTGCATTTAAATGATCTATTAGCTATTTATCTTGTGTAGCAGGCTATCGGTAGGCCTACACTGTAAAAAATATTGTTGGTTTAACTTTTAAAAAGTAGCCTATAACCTGGTTGCTTAATACAATTTTAAAAATAAAATAGAGATTGGTTTAATCAACTGAAACTCAAAATGTTATTTAAGTTGATAAGTTGATTTGACAAAAGAAAAAATGTAGGCTACAAAAAATGTATTTGACCAAAAAAAGCCCTTTTTTTTTTTTTTTTTTTTTACTGTGTAGGCTACAACCAGTAAGAATTAAAGCCCACACATGTAAAAATTCGTTGTAGCACGTAAAATTAATAACAATAGTAGGCTAATAATAAAACAACATTCCAATAATAACATACAATATTAAATATCATTAAAATCAGCATGCATCCATGTCATTTGTTATTATCATTTGCAGCATTAGCATACTATAGTTTTCTTTTATTTGTTGTTTTAGCTATCAAATCATTATTATCTTCTCTAGGAATATCCTTTAAAGAGGTTTATTAAAGGATATAGCCTTTACAAGTGAAGAAAATTATAGAGAGAAAATTATATATTTTTTATTTTATAGATTTGTTTGCTTGGGCCATTATAGGTGAGCATTATCTAGTGAAATAATCAATATGGTTAACACATCTAACACTTATTTTTATTTTATGGATATAAATCGTCATCATAACAAGAGAACTCGCTCGGGAATCTGAGCTTAGTTAAGGAGTTTATGAAGGTGTCTTAATGAAGCAGACACAGATCAAGGGAACGGGGCATTGATCTCTCGGCTTGACATGTCTCGAGTGCCTCTCCTTGTCTCATTTGTCAGTTACAAACGCAATAAGTTGTTGAGAGAGGATGGAGGCTAATGGGGTGGATCAGAGTCTCGGAAACCCTGGACAGATGTCACCCTTTTGAGAAGGAACAATCGTGGCTCAGGAGCCACACAAAAGCCCCCCTGCTCAGGCCTTTCACAATCCACCCAGCGGAAACCCATGTGAACCACGCAGGGCACAGACCCCATTGAGCCCCAAAGCAGCCCGTCTCCAGCCCTCTTGTGCCTCCCTTCTCAGTCCCTCTGCATATAATTAATAGCTTTCTCTGGCCAATTTTGTCCCCTTTGCCTCAAATACAAATGGCCATTAACATCTATTAATTTTGCCTCTGGCAATTGATTGCAGAGTGTGCACAGCTGAAAAGGCTATAACAGTTGGAGTTTTTGTAAGCACTCTGGGTGTGAAGGCGAGTTAAAATGTGATTATTGTTCCCCTGCCTGGAACTAACTGGTGTTAAACCCTCTTTGAACACGGAGAAGCCAAGATTGGTTATTTTACTAGTCATTAGCTGACTCAGAGAGGCTAAATTAAATGGATAACAATCAATACCTATTGACTTGAGGAACATTATGAAAAAATAGCATGTTCATGAAATCCCTTATTCACAATAAAAAAATGAGCAAATTAAAGATACATTACAAAAAAGGTCAAATTAAGCTATCTAATTGTACAACTTCTCTTCTCAGACCATAAATAGAATTCAAATCTTTTAATAGTGTTATCAGACAGCCACAGTAAAAACCTTTCTAATTTCCGAATGCATTATTTGCAAAGTATTTTTTTAATAAAAAAGTTCATTTTGCAATAATTCAGCTCTTGATTCTAGGATTTAGATTAAAAAAAAGAAATGCTAAAAAATATATATAGTAAATATAGCTAAAAATCTAATATGATGATAAGTGACTAAATTATAGTCCTTTATTGTAAAACAACTGAAAATAAAATACAAATAGAAATATTATGACATTCAACAATATTTGCATGATGTATCATGTATTTGGTAAAACTAAAATAGGCCATAAGGATCTCAAGCTCACAGTCACTGTGTACTATGGCACTCAGTGTTAGTATTTATTTGCTCACGTAGCCTAGTCTATTTATCCACTAATAACTATACAAAGTAAATGTATTACACGTCTTGAATGCTGGGACAAAAACTCAAGGATTTGATACAGGCTTTTTGTTAGTTACTGTTCAGAAATGTGGGTGCGCGGTCAACCACATTGTGAACAAACAACGCCCTCTACTGTACCAATGTGTAAAAGACACAGAGCACATCCATTTAAACAATGCATTTAGACATGCTTTTAAAATCGATCAATTGGAGGGACAGAAATCTCTCAGATTTCATCAAAAAGATCTTCATTTGTGTTCCGAAGATGAACGAAAGTTTTATGTGGTTGAAACCACATGAGGGTGAGTAATTAATGATATAATTTTCATTTCATTTTTATATTTAAGCCTCGTTTGTGAAACCAGGGGCTTGTTATTTCCGGATTATATCCAGATTAGTCAGAACAAATACACACACTCATGCATGCAACATTAGTACCTGCTAGTTAAGTGAATCCTTGTTGAAGCTCCGCATTGTGTGTTAATCACTGAGAATGAAGAACATTCATTATTATTATGTTTGACATTCAGATACAAGTAGAGAGTTAAGTGACCTTTTACTTAATACAAATTAGCTTTTTTATTATTATTACTGATATTCTTTTTTTCAGCATATTAGAGAAAGACTAAAGTCCTTAAAACTACAAAAAAGTAGGCCTAGTAGCCTATGGAAGATTGATACTGTGACAATAAATGTTCAAAATCAAAACAAAAGCTTCATCATTATGGCCTCGTTTACACTGCAGGGGTCTCATTTATAAAACTGTGCGTAGGATCCTTACTAAAAGTGTACGTGCGTCCGAAAGCCAAAAATGGCGTACGCAAAAAAATATTCGGACTTATAAAACCGTGCGTACGCCAGAACCTGCAGAATTCACTTTATAAATCCCAGTCAGCGGAAGAATGTGCGCACATGCGTCTCCTCCCCGAAATAACCATATATGGAGCTTACAACACCTAGTTTTACTATGGATATCCTCATCTGCATATCATTTGCATATGATTATTCTTCCACGTGATAACGGTAGGCCTACAAGACATTTGGAAAACATGAAATACGGATGTGCCGTCACATTAGTTACATTAATAAAAAATAATTTAGTAGCCTATATCCTTGCCTTGTTTTTGAATTAATAAATCAAATAGTGTAAATTACATTTCAGAGAAAGTTTTTCTCAATCTTTTCCACTGGCCAAAGAGTATTTTTAATTGATTTATATTTTTAATGGAAACAGATAGCTAGACCTTGTAGTGCATTATTTGCACGAAACTATTTTCTCAGACAATCTGCTATTATCATGATAAGCAATTATCTCTGTAGTTAAAACATTAAAACACAGCATGCCAGAGGAAAAGTGTTTGAAAGCATTGCAACAAATATTTCTATTTATTGAATAGAAAAAAATGTTGTAACTTCTCAGTAATGATTTCATGTAATTTAAGTGTCTAACTCCATTAATCAGAATGGCATATTTAATCTAAATGTATATATCAGAAGTAAAACATAGTTTTAATTATTTAAACTGTTATTGTGAACATATTTCACAGAACACTGTATTTATGATTATAATGAAGATTTACGGTTTTAGATAGGCTGCGTCAGTTCACTTAAGAACAAAGGGATGGATATTTAACAAAGGGATGGACATTTAAAAAGGGATGGATGTTTGCTTCATGTGATAGGCTTGGTGAGTGAAATTATATTTGTATTATCTTTCTGTATACTGTATGTATAATTTTCTTTAGGTTTTCATTCTAAAAGTGACCAAAAAGACATTTAGCTCCAGCTCACCATCGGTGTCGCCAAACTGCTCCATCTCCAAAACGTGCGTACGCACGGTTCAAAATATGCTTAAAGGTGCGCACATTCTCCCGTCAAGTTTGTTTTTTATAGATCACAACCTTTGCGTGGAAACTGGCGTAGGCCTACGTACGTTTCCAGCCCCGTTTTGTGCGTACGCACGCTTTATAAATGAGACAGGGGCCTCATGTATAAAACTTTGCGTAGATTTCATCCTTAAAGTGTGCATACGCACATAAGGCAGAATTTGCGTACGCACAAAAGTTTTCAGATTTATAAAACCGTTCGTACGCCAGAACCTGCGCAGAATTCACTTTATAAAT